ATTGGATTTCTAGTAGGATTTCAGAAGGGACGTTTCGGCCCCCGAAAACCTATTATTGTGATTGATTTTGCGTTATGTTCGGCACGAAATTAGGTGGTGTTTTCCTGTTTCGGCTGTGTTTTACAAAAGGTGTCTGGCTGCTGGTTTCTTGCTTTATTATAGGTAGCAGCAGCAGTCAAAATTAGAGATCAAAGTTGGACAAAATTGGATTCTAGTAGGATTTCAGAAGGGACGTTTCGGCCCCCGAAAACTTAATATTGTGATTGATTTTCCGTCATGTTCGGCACGAAATTGGGTGGTGTTTTGCTGTTTCGGCTGTGTTTTAAAAAAGGTGTCTGGCTGCTAGTTTCTCGCTTTATTAGAGATGCAGCAGCAATCAAAATTAGAGAGCAAATTTGATAAAAATTTCGATTTCTAATTGGACAAAAAATTGGATTTCTAGTAGGATTTCCGAAGGGACGTTCGGCCCCCGGAAAAAAACCTATTATTGTGATGATTTTGCGTTTATGTTCGCCACGAAATTAGGTGGTGTTGCTTGTGTTAGTGTTTCGGCTGTGTTTTTAAAAAAGGTGCTGGCTGCTGGTTGTTATTGCTTTATGATAGGAGCGAAGAAGTCAAAATTAGAGATTCAAAATTGGACAATTGACAAAATTGGATTTCTAGTATAGTAGGATTTCAGAAGGGGACCGTTTCGGCCCCGAAAAAACTTTAATATGGTGATTGATTTTCCGTCATGTTTCGGCACGAATGGGGTGGTGTTTTGCTGTTTCGGCTGTGTTTAAAAAAAGGTGTCTGGCTGCTGGTCGCGCTTTATTAGATGGCAGCAGCAGCAATCAAAATTAGAGATTCAAATTTGACTAAAATTAGATTTCTATTGGACAAAATTGGATTTCTAGTAGGATTTCAGAAGGGACGTTTCGGCCCCCGAAAACCTATTATTGTGATTGATTTTCCGTCATGTTCGGCACGAAATTGGGTGGTGTTTTGCTGTTTCGGTTGTGTTTTACAAAAGGTGTCTGGCTGCTGGTTTCTTGCTTTATTATAGGTAGCAGCAGCAGTCAAAATTAGAGATCAATCAAATTTGACTAAAATTAGATTTCTATTGGACAAAATTGGATTTCTAGTAGGATTTCAGAAGGGACGTTTCGGCCCCCGAAAACCTATTATTGTGATTGATTTTGCGTTATGTTCGGCACGAAATTAGGTGGTGTTTTGCTGTTTCAGTTGTGTTTTACAAAAGGTGTCTGGCTGCTGGTTTCTTGCTTTATTATAGGTAGCAGCAGCAGTCAAAATTAGAGATCAAAATTGGACAAAATTGGATTCTAGTAGGATTTCAGAAGGGACGTTTCGGCCCCCGAAAACTTAATATTGTGATTGATTTTCCGTCATGTTCGGCACAAAATTGGGTGGTGTTTTGCTGTTTCGGCTGTGTTTTAAAAAAGGTGTCTGGCTGCTGGTTTCTCGCTTTATTAGAGGCAACAGCAGCAACAAACAGTAGTATAAACATTGGTCGAAAACTATAAACATTGGTATATTATTGTGATTGATTTTGCGTCATGTTCGGCACGAAATTAGGTGTCTGGCTGCTGGTTTCTTACTTTATTAGAGGCAGTAGCAGCAATCAAAATTAGAGATCAAATTGGACAAAATTAGATTTCTATTGGACAAAGTTGGATTTCTAGTAGGATTTCAGAAGGGACGTTTCGGCCCCCGAAAACCTATTCTTGTGATTGATTTTGCGCCATGTTCGGCAGGAAATTAGGTGGTGTTTTGCTGTTTCGGCTGTGTTTTAAAAAAGGTGTCTGGCTGCTGGTTTCTTGCTTTATTATAGGCAGCAGCAGTCAAAATTAGAGATCAAAATTGGACAAAATTGGATTTCTAGTAGGAGTTCAGAAGGGACGTTTCGGCCCCCGAAAACCTAATATTGTGATTGATTTTCCGTCATGTTCGGCACGAAATTGGGTGGTGTTTTGCTGTTTCGGCTGTGTTTTAAAAAGGTGTCTGGCTGCTGGTTTCTTGCTTTATTAGAGGTAGCAGCAGCAATCAAAATTAGCGATCAATCAAATTTGACTAAAATTAGATTTCTATTGGACAAAATTGGATTTCTAGTAGGATTTCAGAAGGGAATTTGCCAAAGTTTCTCGTCACACAGCTTGCCTGTTTCACCAGCAATCCCCGATTCTTTACCGGGGTCGGCGGCAGGGGCGGCAGCCCTTAAATAAAGTAAGAAACCAGCAGCCAGACACCTAATTTCGTGCCGAACATGACGCAAAATCAATCACAATAATATACCAATGTTTATAGTTTTCGACCAATGTTTATACCACTGTTTGTGCAATGAGACATAGAACCCTCCTGTTGCTCCTGTTGCTGCTGCTGCTCATGGCCACCACTTGAAACGCTGAAACGCCACCTAATTTCGTGCCCAAAACGCTCCAAAATCGAGCCCAAAAAGTGCCTAACGTCCCTTCTGAAATCCTAGAAAAAAAAAGAATTGCCTTTGTGATGATAACCGTCTTGTCAAACACCTTCTATTTCCTCCTGCTGCTGCTGCTGCTCCTGCTCCTGTGACTCCTTCTGTTCAAAAGGCACCTGCCGGATGGGAAAACACCATGGCAGTAGTAGTAGTAGTAGTAGTCGTAGTCCGAAACAAGAGTCAAAAGTATTATTCCCTGGCACGCTCCCCCTTGCGTCTGCCGGGGTCGGCGGATATTGACTGCTGGCTACTGGCTGGGTGCTGCTGTCTTATTCCCTAACGCGCTCCCCCTTGCGCAGCCGGGGTCGGCGGATATCTATATCTATATCTATATCTATATACATTATTATATATTATATATATGTTATCTATATTTAATTGCACACATATACATACTATATTTGAGAATGGGATCATACCACATCTTAATTTACACAACCATTCATTGATTGGTCTTGAAAATATATGGAGATGGATCAAACACCTATTCTACCATATTTGAGGGGGAATGAACATCCGGTGCCAGGGTTTTGACCCCATTCCAATGTCAAGATCATCCGTTTTGTTAACATCCAACCAGAATCAACTAGATACACATCCAAATTCGGCATTTAGATCCCGAACAAGAAAATCAACACTTTCCTCCCAAAAAAAACTTGATTGTTCATTTTTCTTCATGTTTGCCCCCACCGGAGATCACCTGAGATCTCCAGGAGCCCCGCTGCCACATGCGAAGAGCTGCCTTGGAGTTTTTGCGCAGCATGCAGGGCGCAGCTCAGTGTCTTCTGCTCGCGCAGACCTTTGGCGTTTCCAAGGTGCGGGCAAGAAGCAGTGACTCAAACCCTTCTTGCTTCATGCCAGTCAGTCAAAACCTTGTACCCCTGGTGAACATCAAAATAGCTGGTAAATGGATGTTCATCCCCCTAAAAATGGTATTTTCATAGGTATTGATCCATACCCTGATGGGAATAACAAGGGCTTCTACGGCGCAGTTGCTGAATGTTGCTGATGCGTTTTGCATTGGGACGGGGTTGGGTGGATGGGTAGTTTAATGGATCAATGACTGTAAACCATTGTTGGAATCCTTATCAACCAACCAATACTCCCAAATCTGTGTGGACACTAGAATTAGATGCAGACATCAGATAGGCGAAGTCTGAAGTCCTCCGGCATTGCGTTTAGCTGGGACTAGCATTTACTCAGACTCTTTGTATTATCAAGGTACTTTGAGAGCATCATTGCCATATCTGTCCATTGTGTTTCCCAAATCTGCAATGTTTTCTGTGACACCATTGATTCGTTAGGATGCTTCAAAAATGTTGCGTGCAGGTTGGGAATAGCATTTGTGAAGATTCCAGTTATTTTGCACATATTGAGTCTGCGGCCATCATTCCATTGTCTTGAACCAATTTGCAACCAGGTTTTTGATGATACAGTACTCAAATGGTATTGTAGAACAAAACATGGTTTGAATGCAAAGTATTAAGAACTGAACTGTATCCAGTATTCCATTGTTCATCATCATTTCCTAGTCCTATACTATACCGAGAATGATGGCAGATTGTTTTATGATGCTTCGATATTCAAAAAAAATGTTGTTTTTCGGCTCAAAAAGATGATCCAATGGCTGGACCATGACTTAGTGAAACCAAGTCTTAGTGAGGACTCGGGATTCCTCATGACTTAAGAAACCCCACTGGATATTCCTTAAAATAGTGTACATCCAGAGTTCCGAAAGTTGGCAGACTGAAGAAGTATCCTCCAGCTGGGGACAATATGATTGGTTGCCATATGGGGGTTTCCATAAATGGGAATATCCCCAAATGGATGGTTTAGAATGGGAAACTCCCATTAAAATGGATGATTTGGGGGTACCTCTATTTTAGGAAACCTCCATATGCCAAGAAAGTCTCTGTTCACGGGAAGAGATCCACTGTACCTCGGTACCTCGTGAACCTCCTGAGCCTTGAAGGGATCTGTCTCTATGTTTTTAGTCACCTTGAGCTAGGCCAAGTACGCACGTATTTTGTGCTTCCAAAGAGAGTCAAAAAAGGGTTGGATGTTCCGTAAGCAACTTTTTTGACAGGTCTATAGCTGTTAATTGTGTTTCTTGGTTTCTCGGCCTGGCACGGAATTTGTTTACGTATAGTACCACCCAAAAAGATGCCGAAAAGTGTTTCCCGAATGGTATAAATTGTAGTTACCTGATATTTTCCAGATTTCCCACTGTTCTATGAATTTTGGGGTTGCTATAAGCTTATATATATATTTAACTGGTTATAAAATTATATAAGATTATAATGATATTATATAAACTTCCACCAGCCATCAACCATTGTTTTGTTGGTCTCGTTTCGAGGAGCGTGCTCGGAAAGCGGCGCTTGGGATGAAAAGGTGAGGAGGGGTTCTTGCGTCCTGACAAAAAATGAATGGGAAAACCCATGGTCTCCTTCAGATTTTCTGATAATTTCGGCATTTTTTGGGGAGGGAATTCATGAGATGATTTATCCAGGAAAAGTATGGAAGAATAGACTAGATCTAATAGTACATACAATACAGTAAATATATGTAAATATGTATATAAACAATCTCCTGCTAGTCAGGACAGGGGAACGATACCTCTTTACTGTGTAGCCTAGTCATGACTGCATAAACGAATCCGCGCTGTAGTACTTCCTGAACGCATTGTCCCATGGACATAGACATTTGGAAATCATATGCAAGAAAAATTACTGAGGAAATCACGAAACGTAGGCGATAATATGGGATAATCATGGATAGTACATAGGTTAAGGGGGTCTATCCATGTCTATCCCATATTATCCCATTAAACATAGGGTACATGATGAATGCTTCACCTTCGTCAGGGATGACGTCAGCCCGGAGCCCCGGCCCAACTTTTGGAGCTTGAAATCCCTTGGACCTGCAGCCTTAGCAGGTCGGTGACTATGGGTAGCACGGTGAATTTACCACAATAAGTTGGGATATACCCCCCTAAAATGGTTATGTCATGTTATGTCACCACTTATAACTGGAACTGCACTTCCATGTAGTGAAATATGATTCCCAAAAGGCTGGTTCAATGCCAACCAGACATTTGTGGACGAACATTTTACGATTTGGGGCGGAGAACCTCCCACGCACTGAGCTGATTTGAGCTGCGGAGCAGAATCTCAAGCCTCACGCTGTTGCTTTTTAAAGCTGGCTGGAACACATTGGTCTACACACAGTTGCACTGGTCAAACCTTGGTCGAGTCTTATTCAAAGGGTCTATTTTTAGCAACGTGTCACTTTTTGATAAAACGACAAACAGCCGGGAAACGCCTTAGTGGTTTATTTCATGTTAAAGGAACAACGCGCGGACGACTCCATGTTTCGGTGGCGAGGTGACGATCCCCTAGAGACTTTGATGATTGAAGCCTTCGGTGCCACAAAGTGCCAAGGCGGTGCCACAGCCCCACTCTTTGCTGGATATCTCATGGGATATACTGGTGATATCATGGGATATAATGGAATAGCTTATAATTTGATTTCATTTGGATATCATGATTTAAGCAAACATGGGGGTGTCACCAAGTAAAATGCTAGCGGAATATAGTAGAAAGGGGATCTCCCATGGGATATGGGATTATCACCACGATGTCACGATGGTGAATGTATGGGTAACTATCCCCCAATGGCAGAACCTTTCAGGTTGGTGAATTAGTACAATTTATCCAGTTGGAAGCAGATTTCACCAGCAGATTTCAGTACATGTCGGCTGCAAAGAAACACATTATATCTAGATAATTTTAGATATGGATCACAGTTTCAGCCCCCAACCAAACTGATTTTGGCCAAATCCTAGAAAGCCATGTTTTTTCATCATTTTGTGATAGCTCGACTTGGTCCATAGTCGAGGAACATGAAGCTTTGCGATGTCAGTGGTTTACTGCTTCTATCCAGTAATATGTTCCAGTTTTCAATATTGCTATGTATATATATATGCATGATATAGTAATAGGGTGTATATCTTTATTAAAGTTGGGATAGAAGCGAACCACTTGATCCGCGAAATCTGTATCCAAATGTTCAATTTATTCGGATGATTATCATGGTTAATATCTATTTTTGAGACAAACATCATTTGGGGATGATTATTTCATGGGATGCAGACAACTTTCTTGGTGGGGTTTTGGCAGGTGCTCCGGGCACCCCGAGCCCGGATCGGACTCGCCGCTTTTGGTCTGCGCTGGGGCGCCGGTGGATTTCAAGGGCATGTGGAGCGTGGCCTTTCAAAAGGGGCACCGGCCAAAATCAGGGTGCACTGAAAAATGTGGGAACATGTATTCATGAAATTTAATGAACATGTATGAAACTTTTGACTTAATCGATTGCCATACATTAGATGTTTTCGTGATACCAATCCCACAAGACATGAGAAGTAGGAGAAGTCTGTAGAAAGTGCATCAAAAAGGGCACAGGTCCAGAATGCCTGTAGAAATAAGTGATGTAAAGATCTATTGAATGAAACGACTTGACCTTTTATAGATCTGAAATAAGTGATGTTTCTGATCGATTTATATTGTCCAGATCACGGGGAAATTTGAGAGCAGAATACGGTATTCGGTTGTGACAAAATAGACCCAACTGGAATACATTGGGATATACCTCGCTTTGGGATATACCTCGCTTATATTGTCATGATGTGTACCAATTGCAGCCTTGATAGTTGAACAAAAACTCACCCTTTTTGAACATGTTCTCTTAAATCCATCGTTAGGTCAAACTTACGTGATGATTCCACTGAGTACAGCCCTGAAAACAAAGCTAAACCCAAACAGTGCAGTGTGCAACAGGAACAATATATTCCAACTCCGTTATCGGAATGATTTGGAATGATTGGAGGATTCCATGTCAGCTGTACGTTTTAAGGGGTCTTGGTCGAGCATGCACAATTCCCATCATGGGAAAATTGGGAGAATCATCCGAAACGATCGGGGATGGTTCATTTATGGATCAGAAATCAAACACTGAGGATATACTTGGCAGGTGCTGTAAATCCATCGTAAATCCATCGTAAATCCATGGTAAATCCATGGTAAATCCATCGTTTTCCGATCTTTTCCTCCCAAGCATCTGACCCATCTCCGGCCGAGGTCCCCGCAGAAGGCCACCCCACCAAGCACAGCGGCCACCACCCCCGGCACCACCGGGCGGATGAAGCTAACGAACCTCACGCCAGAGACGGAGGCCACCGTTACTAGGTCAAGCTTGGATGGGTAGTTTAATCCTTTTGGTCTTTTGGTATCAATGGGATTATGTACTAACCAACCAAGAATTCATTTTTTTTGCAGGGTATCCAAGATTGGCCATGATAAATGATAGCCACCATGAGGGGGATAAATGGTTTTTGGTTACCTCTATATGTACCCAACTGACCACCCTTGTGGCTGGGGTGTTTGGAGCAAGCCTGAGCAGACTGTCTGTGTTTCCCATGGCACATTGGGATGTCAGGAGACGCCATCGCCTAAGGCTGGACAACAAATGGGACAGTGGGGACGGCCAAGCATGCCAAACATTGGGGGTATGCCAACCCAACCCCTCAACTGGCATCCTGGTAATTTGGGATTTGGTATACCTTAAATCAAGGTGAAAGGATGTGAACGCCCATTTTTAAAGGATCAGTGACGATGCCAAGTGTTCGGTAGCCGGCCCGCCTTCCAGGCCTTGGAACCAGAGCTACGAGGCTGCCCTGAAGTTTTGTTTGCTGCAAGGAAGATCAATGAGTTTGTGTCAATGAAATAGATGTTGACGTTCCATTTAAAGGAGATGTTCCATTTTGGCCCATTTTGGGGTTTCATGTTGGATTTCTGGAGTTGTTTTTGTTTTGGTCATGGTAAGGATCGAGATTCTGAGTCCACATTTTATTGAAAAATGCCAATAGAGGGTAGAGATGATGGAGATGGGTAGAGGCTGGTCCAAGCTGTCCCATCAAGTCCCTGAGTCGTGATGGTAAAGCCCTTGGGTTTGGTGGTGTCAACCGACTTTGTGGAGCACACGACGCGTGTCTTTTTGTGAATTGTGCTTGGCATTTACATAGCGAGATCGTGTTGTCCACATTGACATCACATTCCATTGAAACCGCATTTTGTTTCAAATAACATATATATATATATACATTCATTTATATACATATGTAATTATATGTGATATATAATATATATTACATATAGAGAGAACTTGAGAGAACTATATACACACTGTGTCTTGAAGTGTATTCTGCAAGTATAACCTCTTTGCCATGCTGTAACCAGACATATTCTATGTATATTTGGTGTCTCTCTACATAGACTATGTGGAACCGGGAAATCAACGAAGGTCGCCCAGCGGTTGTCTCCCAGTTGTCTCCCAGTGCCAGGCAGTGGAGCGCTGCCATCAGAGTCGACCTTGCTGAGCTTTGAGGCGAGATCCAGGATGGTGCCCCGCAGTTATACCCTCTGGTTATTTAACATAATTAGCCATGGTATAGATGGCCCATAGAGATAGATGGTTTACCTATTAATAGCATGGTGGATCTTTCCATGGCAATGTTAAATAACCAGATGATAAGTTGATCTACAATCCCCTTTAACTTATAGATGGGTTATAATTAATCCCATTAACTATAGATATATCATATCACCAATAAACCATAGTTATTGGACTTAAAAACCAACTTCGCCAACTATTTAATGGGCCCAAAAATGTGTGGTGATGCGCTGGGATTTAATGGGCATTCAACCACTATTCAGTGATTTAATGGGCACTGAATGGGATTTATAACCATTATATATATATATACATGTATTATTTTAAATAGGAGTTTTTGATGGTGATGTATTGGATTTAACCAGGGTTTGGGATTTACACAATCATTATTTACAGGGACTTGAATGAGGTGATTTCTGGGGATTTGGTTGGAGATTTAGCAGGTTCTAAGATGTTTTAATGGGATTTTTTGTAGCGACCTACAGTACTGTAAGCTTTATTTTACTTATAAAAAAGTGGACTTTATGGTGATGTACTTTATATACATTCATTTTTTTTTAAATGAGTTAATGAGATATGGTTATTTTGTGAGATTTATGGCCAACAATATGGCATATGGGCGTGTCAGAAAATGGATTGGACCCTGGGAATGGCCATTGATTTGGGGAAACCCAATAAAAACAGATATATGAAATAACTGCATTTTATTGTAGTTTCCAGTTTATCGACGTTCATGGAACATGGAAATTCACAGGAATGGGATGGTATACGGGAGCATCTACTGAAATATGGTTCCCCAAAAGAAGGACAGGGGACAGACTCCAAATCATGGGTTCCCCCATTTTTAGTTTATATAAGTTTTGGGAAACCCCCATATCCAGAAAGTACATGGATAAACATATATAAACATACATGGCTTTTCCACAGATGTATATATATATATATGCATTGAATAATATATATATATATTATACATTGTGATGTGTATGTATATATATATATGTATATATATACAGTATATTTCTGAACACTCTCCAAAATCGTTTGAAAACCGGCCACAACTCAGAAATACAAAGGTGAACATGCGGTGAACAGTGTAACACCAGTGAAGATATATAGAGTGAGCATCTAGCAAAACAAATGTAGGAAACAACCAGGGAACACATGGAAGGTCTAAACAAGCAGAAGTGGGGAATGGAGAGTTGGAAGTGGGAAACCAGTTCGCCTGAGTCATATTTCACTCAGTGGTCAACAAATATCATCATCCCAAAACAAAGACCCAACGTCATGGCGTCAAAGTGTTGGGCAGATCTTCTCCAGGCCACTCCACAACGACAGGCACTGGGAAGTCCCTGGAAGTCCAGACGTTGGCCATGCAAACCATGAGTCAAATTAGAGGGCCCCGAAGCCCCGAAGTTGAACATGAAAAACCCATGATATAGTAGTCACTCAGTAGTCTATTCTGGCATTGGGGATGGTCGTTGGGGTCATGATGTTTGTTTCCTGGATGCTTGAGTCCAAGTACCCGGCAACCAAAATGCCATGGCCATGGAAGATCAGGTGCCAGAGTTGCAAGCACTGCAGGAGGACAACATAGGGATTTGTGGGGACGGAGTAGATTTCCATGGGATCTGAATTGGGTGATCTTGGATTCATATTCCCTTCTTATGTTGGTTTGTTAAATCACCAGAAAAATATGATATGTGCAGATGATTTTCCCGGTTTTACCAGAAAAACGTGGCCATAGATTGAGGTCAATGCACCATGCTTGTAGGTTGGCTGAATCCCCATGATACCAATGCCCCTGGTGCCCCTGGACTCTGCTGGGGTTGATGCCATTATCATCTATTTCTGATGCAAAAACCTGTTTATCCTGTTTACAAACCATTACACACCATGCTTTTCCTCGACAAATATGAGACAACCCCGGAAAAGCTTTAAAAAACCTGTCAAGGACCGTTGTTGGAGCATACAACTCCCGTAAGAAACCCCTATTTCGTAAGTTTCGTATGGGAAGCTGATGGGACTAGGGCTACCATCAGCCAGAGGGTCCCTACAAGTTCCATGGAGCACGTGCAGGAGTCGGATCTGTTGGCATCACCTTGCAGCACGGTGAAAGCAGCGACTGGTGGCGCGCCCAGGGGTACCGCGTAACTTGCCGAAGGCGCCATTTAAGTGGATGAACTGATGGAACTGGAAATATCTCAAATCGTCTGGAAATCTTTAGTGCATACCTATAGATTTATATCAGTAAATCAACCACTGATGAGTAAGATAATTTCTTGACTTTTTCACACATCTCAGGACCTTCAACAGCCATGGCAGGGAACTCGCGCAGATTCCGCAGGCGTCACTCTCTCAAGGGGGTGAGAAATATCCGCAGATCCCGCCGTTCCCGGGTCCTTTTTTTTTGACCGCCATGGAGGAGCGACAGGTCATGAAGATGCGGACCTTTTGGGTCTCGTGGAAGTATAGAGCCAAATTAATATACTTATATACTTAATGATGTTAATGGTGATATTATATTATATATATATCATTAACTAAGTGATATATTTATTGTAGAAATATCTTATTTTATATTAAATGACATTATATTATATTACATTATATAGCAAAGGCACGGATATATTTGGATTTTGTGAAGTCCAGATCATTATTGGTCATAACCACTGGTCTGACTGAACAAATACCACACAGCATTGGTGTTGAATCCCAATGGATCCCCACCATGGTTCTGACATCACTCATATGTAACATGAACTAGTTTAATGAATAGACATTATAAGACATTATATATGTGAATCATTTTGCATCTACTGTATGTGATATATATATACACATTATATATATATTATAACTACTTATAACTATATACATATATAGATTATATATGGATGTACCATATGTTTGTCATCCCAGCCCATCCCATCGAATGACTCCAGCAGGAGATCACCTTCAAATTTGCGGACCGCGCTGAAGTGCCTGGCTGGCTTGGCATCGACGTGCAATCTGAGGCGCAGGGAAACGATGGCCGTGAAGTTCAGAACGTGGGGAATGAAATATGGATGACAGATGTGATGTTGCAATACCTCACGATAGTAATTATATGTCTATGATTGTACATGTACATATATATATATATATTATTATTATATTAAACATATATATATATATATACATACATATACATATATATATATATACATATATATATAATTATATACATACACATATATATATAGGTGCACCTTTACATTTGTAACCTTGGGATTCGGCAGTTTAGTACTCTTTTGGTTGCCATAAATGTGGATTTGAGCCAAATTTTCATGATAGTACACACCTAAAACACATGAGGATATTCAATATTTTGTGATAGTACACAACTAGAAACACATTAGGATGTTTCGTACTTTCTGATTGTATATCTATGTATATATAATATATATATATATCAGTTTATACACATGTTATGTTACGAATGCAAAGAGCTTCTGACCTTGAGTTCTAGCCCACTCTAACATGAACATGATGGACTGAAGCAGCAGCATGCTCTTTGTCATGCCTGCTTTCTTCAGTTAGATGTTTTTTCGCCCCCAAACCCAGGCACCGTTGTTAATTGAAGATGGTTGAGGGTTTTCTCGCCTTTTTGGATGGTTACTCTAAACGTAAATCCCAATGTTTGATTGGTATTCAAATTATTGATCGTCAAATGAATGTTTTTGATCGTCAAATCCCAATTTGTGCTGGTCAAATGCTAATTTTGTACGGTCAATTTCAGTTTTGCACGGACAAGTTTTGACGTGATGGTTAAAATTAATTTTTGATGCAGAAACCTACTTCTGTTTTTCGTGTGTTTATTGTACCCTGGAGAAAGCAAACACAGATTGTTAGTTTACCGAAGGGCAACTCCCCACATTCAAAGATGGTTTTAGCCATCAATTGGTTGATAACAGCCCCCATTTATTCCATGAAAGTATCCCATTAGAATCCATTAGATTTCCCATATAGATGAACTTACCTCAAGGAAATTGTTGTTGGTAACTATCCTAAAATTGCCTTTTGAATGCCCATGTGATGGTTTATTATGGTTTATTCCCTTTGTTCCTTGATGGTTAAATAATGTTAAATATGTATGTTCGATGGTGAAATCATGTCCACTGGCCATTTTAACGACATTTCTGGACAGATTCTAGCGGCCTCATTGCATCGTCGCGGGGTAACTATATCCAAAGGAACCATCAAAAAAATACCCCTGTTGATTGATGAAGATAGAGGGTTACACTAGCTTTTTCATTGCGGGATTATCGTAACTACTAGGAATACCCATTTACCAACCAGCAAAAACATGGCGGTAATCCATTTGAATGAATTACCAAACATACCAAACTGGCCCTGATGTAATTTGTCCCTTCTAGGACACCATGGTTAAGATCAGATCCCTATGTTCGATGGTTAAAGCATCTTAAATTGTAATTTTAGATGGCTAGATGTCAATAATGTTTCTGTGGTTGAGCAGGTGGTAGATCGGATCTTGGAAGTGAAGCCTGACCGAATCCTGCTGGTGTCTTGGATGAATTTCAGCGGAGGCGCCCGTTTGAAACAGGGGATTTAACTTTAACCCAGAATTACTGTACCTTTTCTAACGGTAATTCATCACTATTTTGGGGGTACCCGAATCAACAGTTAAGGATTTATTTGTCTGTCGTTGAAATTAAAGCAAACATCAGGTTTTAAGCAACACACAATGTGAAATTATAGGTTTATGTTGGTTTATAACCAGGCTAACTGGAACGTACTTTTTCTCGGAAAAGAAAGTGTGCAGTTGGACTGGCTTACAAACTAGTTATACAATATTTTGTAACTTTGACAAATTGAATTTCACGATGGTGCTAATCAAATTAGATCAAATGGAGGTGGATTGCCATTTGCAGACCTGATTTTTGGGAAGCTGATGGTCTTATCTTTTTTTTCTTAGCTCCTCATGTATTGTTTTTGTTGTTGTTTCTGGCTACGTTTTAACATATCCCATGTCTTATTGCTCTTTATATCCCGACATCCAGATCTCACCCAGGGAAAGGACGATATCTCAGCTGCATATATTCCCCGATATTATTATATATGATAACATATATATATAATCATATATATATATAAATATCGATTATTATTGTTGTGATACTTATTGTTGGTGTTGTTATTATGATGTATTACATCTCCAAAAGAATGGGACATTATCCAGAATGTGTCCGTTATCGTGTTGTGCAGGCTGGCATTCCTCAACATTTTTCCGAGTGACAATATCCATTTTTGATTGATGAGGCATTTTTCGTGCGGTCATATATATATATAATATAGTATCATATAGTATCAACATGTTTGTCCGTTATTGTGCATGTGTTTATCCATGTTTGATATCGAATTACTACACCTATTTTTGGTCAATAAAATCGAACACACATGGTCAATATATGCCAATATAATACATAATTTCTGGTGTTTTTTGGATCTCCACATGTTTGCTGGTTAAGATATGTTCAGACACCTTCTTTTTTGTCGCTTGCCTCATTTGGGTTTGTCTCAAATGATGGTAGCGACATATTTCATGGTTTAGAACATCGTTTTCCGGTTTTTTAGTAATGAAAGTATCAACATAGGCCAACAAAAAGCAATGTTGACAAAAAGTCAAGTAAGTAAAGATCAAACATGATTAAACTCTCAAAAGGTGCCAACAAAAACATGTTTTTACACATATTTCATACGGAACTGATGTGACAGCTTACATGTGACCGCCTTCCACTTGAGGTTTAGCCCCCAAGTCCTGGGATACCACCTTGAATGTAGTCAAATCTCCCATTTCCCACTCCCTGCTGCTAAACTTTTCCCGAGCTCCCCAGTCCCATTTTGGGTACCCGACATGAGCTGTGTGGGCACATCCCATGACAATTTTGGGGCGCCCCATAAGTGGATAGGGGTCACATGCCCCAAACACTGTTATTTACGAGGTTTCAGGCATCTGACCCCTTTCCACTCCAAGACTTGAATTGCTCTTGTGGCATCTTGCGGCGACCCTTGAGACTCTCAATTTCTGTGGGTTGCTCTCTTTAGGATAAGAGATTTGGGAAGACCATGGGAACCCCAAAACGTAAGCTTAAACATAGCCACAAAAATCCAGATTCATGTGATGGCAATGATCGATTTTCAAGGGATTTCACTGCAAAAACCAAGGCCCACAGAGGCTGAGAATTGTTAAGAGTTATTTAGAGTTACTTAGAGTGATTTAGAGTGATTTAGAGTGATTTAGAGTGACTTAGAGTGATTTAGAGTGATTTAGAGTGATTTAGAGAGATTTAGAGAGGGTATACATGTCAGGACATATTATGCCAAATGGATAGGGGTCAGATCTCTTGGGTCAGATCCGCCTCCTATGAATATTTATACAACATGTTACAACCAAGTTTTTCCCAACATCACCATACATATTTTCCTGACGTTTCGCACGCGCCACGTGTTGCTGGGAAGGTCACGGAAGCTACTGTGGAAGAGCTGCACGGAGATTATTTCACCCCCATGATGGAGGCGGTTCAACGGTTTTTGTGGGGGTAATGTGGGTAAAACAATGCATGTTTAACACCCCCGAGTCATCACCATTTTGATAGGTGGTAATGCCATAAACCATTCCCAGTCATGGGTGGTAAACATGGCATTGTTTTACCCAGAAGTGGTCCATGATACAAAAGGATCAAGGTCTGTGCCGATGGTCCAAAGATTTGAATACTGGAACATGGCTATGGACATCATCTTGACCATGGGTATTTGTTTTGAGTTTTTGGCAGCCTTCCTGCAACTGGCAAGAGCCACGCTTTTCACGGACAGGTTCATTCTTATCACGGGGAAAGAAAGTGAATACCATGTGATGCTGGATGACAACCCCATATTCTCAAGAGTGATGAAATCGCACATGTTGACCAAATTGGCATACTCGTATGGCTCAAACTTGTTGCCTCAAAATTGACACTTTCTCTGGCTACATCCCATTTCTATCCATGCATATCAGTTCATATTCATTTGCTTTGAGATAGATAGATATCGTTATAGTGTGTATATATATATACTATGATGTGATATATTTACAATATGATTCTGTATGTAGATTGACATTGTATATACTGGACTGCATTTTTTTTTCTATTGCCCTGCCCAGACTGGGGGCTCTGGTGGCAGTGGCGATACCTCATTGGGCGGCAGCTTGCCACCGCTGAACAAGAGCCTTGGCGGTAATGGGGATGTGACGATGGCTCAGGGGTTGGGGATTTCTATGGGAAAGTATGGCTTGGGTAATAAATGACGATGAACATACTGGTGATTTGACAGGTTTTTTGTCATTGTCATTTATTACTCAAGTTTCAAATGGATCCAACATGGATTTTTAAACCATTGAAAAAGACTATTTTCAATAGACAAGTTGGTGGTTCGACATTTTTGACAGTCATTATTTTCAGGATTTTGATTCCCATTGACGAGCAGCTCACGAGCATCCCTCAATATGCGGGTTTTGATTATATGTGGAAAATGAATGGGTAGTATAGCGACGGACATGCACTTAGAACATACTTTGGAAAAAAGATCTGAAAATCTTCACAGCGGGGATGTTCTAAGTATGGATTTCAAAAAAAGTAGTTAGAACATACCCAAAACCTATACTTAGAACATTTCCAGGCTATACTTAGAACATCCCAGTGGGGAACCAATGGGAACCATACATATATGTATAAATGACGCATCTCCAAAACATTCAAGATTATATATATATATATAATTCATTTTTGCTCATTTTAGTATTGAAACCTATGCTTTTTGAATACCCCCTGTAGGAGACCCACAAATTACTAGAGACCTTCTCATTGCAGCAAAGACTGCTTGGGATATTGTTCCCGAAGAAAAGGTATATAATGCTGCAGCAGTGAGGGGAGAAAGTGTTCTAAGTATGGTGTTCACCAAGGTATTTGTGTGTATATATGCAGATTTACCAAAGTAACAGGACATGTTTTAAGTATATGATGTATATGTGTGTTTTCATGTTCTAAGTATGCAGAAATCAAAGGAGATGTTCTAAGTATCTGCTTTTTCTGATGTTCTAATTGAATACTTAGAAATATTTTTGATGTTCTAAGTATGGTAATTTTGATGTTCTAAGAAGTCGTTTTCGATGACATATTCAGACAGTTTCAGAATGTATATTTGCAACGTTTTGTTCTGAAATCATCCGGGTTGCAACTGAACACTTGGTGAATGCTTCCACTCTGCAGCGGCTACCAGCTTCACTACACACTGTTGCCAGCTATAGCCTGTGGGCTTGTGGGATTGATATATTGGAATATGCATCTTATCATACATCTGCTGGATTTCCATTTGCATATATTTGATCACAAAACGGCAGAATCGGCATTGTACCCGATTTCCGGAGCGGCGTGTTGAGTGCCATGGGAGCTGTAAAGCTCGACCACTCAGATCCGGCCCAGCATCGGGCCGGCATCATGCAGCAGTTGCGACAGTTCTGGATGGACGACCATCTCTGTGATGTGGTTCTGAAGAGCCATGATGGTGCAGAGCATCGCGCCCATACGGCCGTGCTATCTGCCGCCAGCGTGTTTTTTAAGAATCTGCTCGGAGGATCGTTTCTGGAAGCAGAGAGGGTGCAACAGAAGCAGCCAGTGGAAATCGCTGCGTCTAAAGCGGCGTTGTCTGCATTGCTGGACTACATCTATGATGGGCAGCCTGAAGTGCCAGTGGAAGTTGGTCTAGAAGTCCTACGACTGGCAGAGGCTTACGACTTGCCAAAGTTAGCAGGTGAAATTGAGGCAGGTATTGTTGCCTGCTCGGACAGCAGTGTCGCCCTGCAAGTTCTACAAGAAACACATGGCCTTCATTCTCTGAGGGTTGCATGCGAAGACAAAGTGGCAGAGGATTTTGAGACTTGCAGCCAGCATCCAGATTTTGGGAAGCTCAGTGCTAGTCAGCTGGCCAGAATTTTGAGGAGAGAAGATCTGGCAATCTCTCGCGAAGAAGAAGTGGTGAATGCAATATTTACTTGGAATAAAGTTTCCAAGGGCGGACATGCCTCTTTGGGCATGCTGCTGCAAAATGTACACTTCCAACTACTTTCCATTGAGAATTTGCTTTTCCTTAGTCGTACAAGTCTCTCCGGTCAAAGTGGTGATGACCTGTACAGAGAAGTTGAGGATGCTTTGACCTTGCGCAAGAGAACCCAAAGTCCAGGCACTTTTCAGTCGAAGAGGTGTTGTCTCCAGCATTGGTCACCATTCTTAGGTGCTAGCACTGAAGCTTCAGGGAGAGAGGTACTGTCCTTGCCATGTTCCTCTTTGTGTTGGCACCAAGGTGAACTTATTGCTTCGTGTTTTGAGGGTAGCATCCTTAGTTGGAAACCCGGTGACCCTTCAAGCTGCCTGCGACGTGTGGCGGGTGAAGGCGCCACTGTGGCTGGAATCAATGACTTGGGATCTTGTTGTGACCTGGCCATCTCGCCCAGCGGGGAGATGTTCGTGTCAGATTGGAAGGATCGGAAGCTTCTTCGGTTTCAAAACGGTTCTGGAGACTTAGTTGTTGGCAACGCTGATGCAACGGCCCTGTTTTCCTCGCCCAGTGGTGTGCTGTATGTGTTGAGCCAGTTTGGGAGAACAGTGCAAAAGTTGGTGGGTTCGACGCTCCAGACAGTGATTGCTTCCGAAAGCCTTTCGGCAGACATGCAGTTCGAAGCACACGAAATCTTTGTAACAAAGGAAGAGGTGATCTATCTTTTGGATAATCTGAATAACAACCGTCGCATTCTGTGCATCAATCCAGCTGAGTCGTTGGAACCTGTTGTGGTGGGCCAAATCCCAACTGAGGGCCGGTCTTTCCTCACGGACCTGTTTGTAACTGACGGTGGAACAATCTATGTTGCTGACTGGGATCAAAGAAAGGTGTTGGCCTTCCACCCGGATAGCCCAACTTTCACAGAAGTCCTGCAGTGCCCAGATGGATTTCACCCTGTCGCACTGCTGGTTCAGGACAGATCGCTGTATGTGAGCATGGTGACACCCCAGGTGAACGGAGAGCCCTGGACGGGGAAGGTTTACGAATATTTGTTGCCTCCTGAACTTCAGCTTCAGTAGTGAAAAAAGATCCTGTGGTTGGGGGCTTCCGGGGGGCATGGGTCAAGATTCCGATATTTTGGAAAAATTGATGTTCTAAGTATGTGTCCGTCGCTATAAGGTGAGTTAACCATGCACAGACGTGATATTCATGTGGTAAATCCAAAAGTATAGTATATAACAACATTTACCAGACAATACTTGATCCACATTATTTTCTAGATATTTATGGAGCAACCTGTCTAGTATTTTTTCTAGATATGGTCCAGTGTTCCTTACTCCCCTCCCGCTCCTGTGGCATGTGGGATTTTTCATCATATACAGGCCATATAAAATCCATACACAATTCTATTACAAACATATATAAATCCATATACAATTCTATAAAATCCATATAAATCCTCATGAGTTGCCCACAAACGCCCGGCCTCGCGTTCGCGTTTCGATGGCGAAGCGGCCAAGGTTCGTGCTCCCCGGTGGAGACGAAGCCAAATCCTGGGACTACCTGTCTCAACTCATTGAGTCGGCTGGCGATCTTCCGGATTTCCGGGAGGGTAGCTACAATAACCGTCAATAACCATAAATTAAGGGCATTAATGGCCAGGTCAATCTTGGACTTTACCCCATTTTTTTGATTTAATTTAACTGATAATAACTGAGAATCCCATAGTTGTTAAATGTTGTGAAAATAGTTACTATAGGTCAGTCGACTGGATGGTTAGAAACTAATCCTTTAGTCTTTTGGTATCTGGCTGGGATTATGTACGTTCGCCAGATTGTCTATAATTATCACTAATCCCATCACCCATTTAACCATGATTGATATAAGGATTGAATGGGGTTAACTTGCGTTTAATTATATAGATCTAATGAGATAATGGAGGATTTATGATATGGAGGTTTCCTACAATTGGGGTACCCCACAGCTGGATGGTTTAGAATAGAACATCCTATTTAAATGGATGATTTAGAGGTACCCCTATTTCAGGAAACCTCCATATGGGAATCTGGGTAAATTATAACAACCTCACTGTGACCGAACCCTGGAATCATGGTTAAGAATGGGAATCATCCCCAAATGGCCGCAAGTTAACTCGGGGGCACCATCCTGTACTTAGATTACATCGAATGGTTAAAATATGATAAAAATCAAACATAGTCGAAGGATGTTGAGGATAAGGATAAGTCTTGAGAGGGCAACCTCGAATTTCGGAAGCACCCCAAAATGGGAAGTATAGTTTGCTTCCCATTCAAGACCAGTCTTTTGATTTTTGAGATGTGAATTGCTGGGCTACGAGGTTTTATTTTACCCGCAACCATCAAGACAGGGCGTCAGGGTGGGGTTCTGGCAATGGTACGGCCCGGTGGTTTTTCATGTTCGTGTGAGTTTTTTGTGGGTTTTCGCTGGTAGTTTGAGCAAGTTTTGGGCTATACTTACATGTTATATATATAATTATATATATATATATATAGATATATTTATATGTTTATACACAAATATTATATTTTGGAAAATTAAATCCAAACGAACACAACATGTTTTTTCCAGCGTTTTTTTTTTGGATGATTTATCGCTGTATCTGCCTGTGGGCCAGAGTAAGCTGTCTCAGCGTCACTAAGGTGGGGTTTCAGCGTTGGCGCGACCAAGAAGTCTTTGATCGTTGCAACTTGGCATGTTTTTTGAATAATGTTGGTGACCCGCTTTCAGACATGCCCATTTAATATGTAGTTTCATGGGATGTGTGTAAACCTGTTTCTCTTATCAAAATTCCACATCATACCACTCCATCGTATGAACTGTACAAGCATCTTCAACATTAATGTTCACACATTATGAAATCATGTTATAGTCTGTGGCAAAATAGAGTTTTGACATGTTGTTACTCTAATTATTGATCAATGCATTACTGTTCATACACATCTGCACATGTTTGAAACAAACCTTCAATGCATCTCCACAATGCAACTTGGGATGTGGAGTCTCATCCTTGAGGCCTTTGGTGGAGGGGCCTTAATGAACCTTGGCGCTTGCGGTTGCACCTGCTGTTGCAACACGAAAAAAGGGGTGTTTAAGATTCAATCGAATCAACATGACCATTTTGTATAATGTGATTAAAGCAATATAAACCACCCATTTGGGAATGGTTTATACCACTTATGGTGAAATTGGGGATGGGTTGATTATTGTTTTGCCAAAACTAGTGGCTTCAAGAGATCCCATTCGCCGCTCGCCAAATGAATTCAGTCAACTTTTACCGCCAAAATTGGATACCATCTGGTTATATAACATAGCCATGGAAAATCACCATTTTTAATAGGTAAACCATCTATAAATGGGTCATTTCCCATGGCTATGTTAGTCATAACCAGACGGTATCAGCCGCCGCAAGGAATGTCACTGGCCTCTTTGCATCAATCTTTTACCGCGGCAGCAAGCTGATCTATGTGACCTGGCCATGGGATGCCGGTTTGAAAATGCTTTGGGCCCGTCAAGACACTGGTTAGCCTCTGGTAAACTAACAGTTTGCTATAGAAAATCGCCATTGAGTTCATTGATCCCATGAAAACCAGTGATTTTCCATAGAAAATGGTCAGTCCAGAGGGAAATCATCTTATTTCGTCATAGCCCATGGCATCCCAATGGCTTGGGGGTCCCATTATTTTTGGACCCGAATCATTGGCGGTAGCCACCCCATGGGGGGTTGTCTTGGAAACTCAGTGACTGATGGCAATGTTCTTGGGATAAATCTGAGATGGTAGTGAGTGAAGCTGCCTTAATGTACAGATCGCCCCAAACATTTATGCAGATGCTTTCCCTGTTCAAATCGTACCCTCCAGTGAATGAACATAGATCCTGACAACAGTCAATTGTCTAGTGGAATAGTCTGGCAACCCCCTGTATGGCAGGGTGCATGTTAGTTCGGGGGAGGGTAGATCTTCCATTGCTGACCAACACACTGAGTCTTGAACCCTCCAAACAATCATCATCATCATCATCATCATCATCATCATCATCCTCATCCTCATCCTCATCCTCCTCATCCTCCTCATCATCATCATCCTCATCCTCATCCTCCTCATCCTCCTCATCATCATCATCATCCTCATCATCGTCCTCATCCTCATCATCATAATAATCATTATCCTCATCATCATCACCGTCCTCATCCTCATCATCATCCTCCTCATCCTCCTCATCCTCCTCATCCTCATCATCCTCATCCATGATAGATATCTCCATTATGCTTGACGGTTAAACAAACTTATCTTTGATGGTTGAATCACCATCAGCACCATCCTATTCGGTCTATTTCCCAGGTTCCGACCACACTGTTGGCGATGCATGACGTCACCACTTCCCTGAAGACCTCCATTTGCCACTCGGAAAACTCTGAGATCATCCAACAAAAATGGAAGCTGGTGATGCAACAAAGTCGCATGTATCTTCCAGCCAACTTATATCTTATAATATACAAGTGTATATATATATAAGATTATTTAAGTGCTTTAGTGATGTTATCTGATGTTTACTGTTGTCTCTTCGTGTTTTCGCGCAGCTACTCAAGCCAGTTACCGGCTTCTTGGTATCAGCCCGTCAAACAGATTGTTTGTTTAGCGGGGGTTGTCACATCCAGGTTCCCAACATATAGACACGTGCCTTCAATTTGCAATGTGGTCAGGGCAGAGCATTAGGTACAACTTTCTGAAACCCGCAAACAACAAGAAATAGATGATTGCTGAGAGTTTTTTACGGGAGTGAGAAAATTGAGAAACCCTTCGCAGCAAATAATTTCTGTTTGGGAAACCACCATTTCTTTCCCAGGGTTTCAGGCTGGGTTTTACCATCCATCTATTGGAAATCAGTTGGCCAAATGTTTGATCCCTCTTAAAGCCTTCAACTAGCCTCAACTAGTTTCATGTATACCTCTTCAACAATTTAAACATAGCTGTGTAAAACTGTCCATGTACAGATTCCTTACCCATTATTTGTGATTATGTATTACATTTTATAGATATTATACACATTTATTTAAATAATTTTATACATATTGTATTATTTATTGATATTGTACACATATCCATTTATAATAGATTATTTCAAGTATTTCCATGGCCATTTTCCATGGCTAGTGCAGCCACCCTGAGGTCACAATGGACGTCCCTGGGCTTCCGTTCGGGCCGAATCATTCGGAGGGCCCGCGGAGGCAGGAGAAACCATGTTGTAGAGAAATGTATCTTTATGTTTCGATGAATGTTTGAATTTAATCATATGTAAATATACGTATATACATGCATATACAGAATTACATAGACATGTCAAGTAAATACATGTAATTACAGTATATCTTTATTCATGCAAATTTGGATCAGGGGTGGTTATTGTAACCTGAAGTGTCAGTCATGACTTCGCTTTCACTTAGTGAAGGGAACATATCCATTAAACAGAGATATCACAAGATTTTTTTGGTGTGTTTTAGTGTGATAAAATGGGCGTGGTGCCTTCAACCAGGCATACCTTCAGTCCCTCAGAGGGACAGCGGTGACTCCGTTAGCCCAAGGTAAGAACAACATCGGTTCCTTCTACGCTCCTCTGCATCTTGGCAACATTGGACTGACTGATTGCTTTCGGAATGTTTCCCAGGTGGTGAGTTTGTGACGTACAGAAGCGGATAGAAATGGGATGAATCTGGTCCCAGTAAGAAAATCCGCTGTAACAATTGACCTCAAATCGCCGCATCTTTTGGGTCCCTGAAATCCTCGGTGGCTGCGGTGGTTAGGAAGATTCTGATTGATGTGGGCTTCTGCCGGACCCTTCAGAGGCCGTCAGTTGTTCAGCAGTTTGGGGGGATGGGCCCGGAGCCATGAGATTCGATGGCCGTAGTTTGTATGGATTTGCATGGTATACCAAATGATAATATTGATAATTCATCCGAAACAAAATTAGATGGAAATATGGAAATAGCATGAAATGGCCATGGATACGTCAAGAATTGCCACATCTTCACTCATCAAACATTTGATCCATAGACGTTGCACTGGAAGGAAGTTGTTACTTGGAAGATCATCCACTGGAAGGAAGTGGTTATGGTCACGGAGGTTCTACCCCAGTTATATCACAGAATTTCCTATGAAACTTTGTTAGTAGCTGGAGTGAAAGAATGAAATACCCATAAAAATCTTCAGGGATTTGCGAGATGGCCAAAGTCCACTCAGCCACTTAAAGTCAAAGATCAAACATGGATTTCCACGTCCTTTTGCCATTTTACCGGAGAGTGACCTCAGCATGTCCCATTATGTTTTTTCTCTTATCATTTACAATAAGTTTCCCATTATTTGCCATGACTTTTCATGATTTACGCGTATTTGTTTCATATTTTAAGCACTAGTTTCCCATGATGTCCCATGTTTTAGCTCTATTTTCCCATGATTTCCAATGGTTTAGCACCATTTTCCCATGATTTCCCGGTTGGTACCCCTTTGGCCGCTGTGGCAGGGCAGAGCTGTTCTCCGGGTTGGGTGAGCTGGCCAAGAATGCAGCGACACTTGGCACCGAAAAGATGGGCCTTACTATATGTT